CACAGAGACAACCTCTCGTCAATATGCGTTTTTCGCATTGCATTGCTGCAAAAAACGCATAAAAAATTTAATCATGATTTTGCTTAGGGAATTCTTGAATCATATAGAGTTCATGATCTGGTTCTCCACCTATGCATATGGCAACTTTTCCAAATGCTGCCTTGCCTGTGACTATCCTGCTGACTTTCCCGACATTTCTTTCATTTCCTGGGAAAGTCCGGTCCTCTCGATAGTGGTATTTGGCAGAAGCACATAATTTTTGCACAACGTGAAGTTGTGTTGAAGGGAACGATTGGCATCAGTAATTGGTGCTAGTCGCTGCAAATAAGCGTCTGGGTGAATCTATATTTAACTGATTGATTTTGCATGGCTAGGAGGGGCAGGATAAAAATTCGGCACAGCCAAATTTCAGTTGCACTTCATTGACTTCGAGAAGGAACTGTGCGTTAGGTGAGTGAATACTGATGATGGACCACCGCACGTGAAGCGATTTGTCCCTCCTTCATAGGGATTAGCATTCTGGGAAATGTATGTGTTACCCACGCCATGAACTGGAAGAATTTTGAAGGGAGCGCAAAAGGGAATAGTGAAATTCGAGTATCTGAGCACCTCTGGCGAAGCATTCTTCGAAACTGCTGTAATTTCATGTTGCCATTAGAAGTAAAACATCTGTAAGGTTGATTACAAAATCCTCGTTACGTTTTATGACTTCATCTTCAGAAACTGCGATAATTCCAGGTCCCATTAGATTCTGCACTTTAATAATTCACTGCCTTTATTTTCCACCGTGATTTTTACTGTATCGTTGGCTACAATTCTTTCAGCAGGTTGTCTTATCAATATTTCTCGAACAATACACCTGTCAATTTGTAGACTGGATTTCTTACCGTGCTTTCGTAAACCTTGCAATCGATTAAGATTTTTTGCTTTTCGCACCTAAATAACTCCACACATTCGAGTTATTGACCGGCTGAACGGATATTTCAGGAAAAAAATGACAAAATACAAATTGAAAACGGAAGTTGACTGTTGTTACTTCAGATACGAGCACTGTCGACACCGGAAACGACGTTGTGCGTGGAAGACAAAGCATCAAGTGCTGTCATATGTTGAGGAAATGTCCGTTGGTGGCTCCTTCATTGAAGGTTGATTTTTTTATTCATATTTAATTTTTAGTGATTTTCGATTTAAAATTCAAAACGAGCGTGGATTAAAACAACAAACTATTTTTATAACCATTAATTTTCAGGGCGGAAACAGGGAGTATCAACGAAGCTTCCACGTGGCTTGACATTATGGAATACGGAGACCATGGGCCATGATATATTCAAAGTTTACAGCAAATGGAAAGCTGATCCGCCCGATCCTGATGAAATAACCAGCGCCAATCATCCTTATCTCGAAATTAGGAAGCATGCCTAGAAGTCTTGAAAAATTTGAGCGTGAGATTGTTAGTGATATGTTCGATTTGCCTATAATAAGTTGATGGTTGGCGCTGATGTGTTAGCTGATAAAGTGTGATAACATGGCTGATAATAGCTGAGTGTAGTTATTAGATTTTGCCATAATTTTAAATTTGTGATACCTTTTCCACACGAATCAAAAAGCCAACTAAAACTTAATGAAAGTTTGACATATCTGGAGTTTATTTTGCGAAGAGTTTTTGATACATTTGATTGAAAAGTTTAAGTGTTTTGCCATACGTAGCATTTCCTCGTACAGTACAGTACTTTCTTCGTATTTTTTGACGAAAAATTGCTGGCATATTGTTGGATGTTTTTACTTCAATTTTTTCGCAATGAATTTGTTTGATGAATATCACAATTACGTCCACTACCAATGTAAAGTTTTTAGTGGGCATAGATTCGGTAGTATTTTAATTGTTGAAGTGTTTGATTAGCTGTTATTTTCATTATTGCGTTCCTTCTCGCCACTGATGCAGCCCATAGCTGTTTCGTTTTGCTCTGTTTTAGGTCCGTTTCTTCCACATAGGTTTTGTAAAGCAGTCCTGACAGATATTATTGTCGCATTGGCGAACGGTTTTTTTT